TAGACAAATCAAGCCACTGGGTATCCAAATTATTCGGGTAAACGGACACTGTGATTTTGGGCGGAATCATGTGAAACAAAGCAGATTATTAGCGAAAAACAACGGTGCCAGATCGAAGGGAGCTACTGAAACTTCCGCGCTGCAATCAATGGGCATCTAGTTCTATTTTGCGAGGTGAAAGTAGCCTGCAAATCATCTATTCCTGTTATGAGGGAGGAGTTTTGTTCAGAAATATGTTTCGCCCGACTGAAATTAATTGCCCTCGCAGCTGAAAGTGACGATCAGATTGTCCCTAGTATGGCCTGTACCAGGCTCTGAAGGTGCATCTGCAGCTGATTTTTTTACCCAAGTTTTTCCGCGCCCTCGACAGAGCTTCCCTAAAAGTTGGTGAAATTGAAATCCACCTTAGTATCACTGCGTCCTTTTTTAAGACCCCTTTGAGGTGGTAACCTAGATGAAACCACGCAAATTCCACGAGGTGAGGAAGTCACCTGCGATATGTTTAAATACGGGGGCAAGTTGCAGTTAGCGTGCGGCATGACGTCGGATTGCTTGCGCACAGTGGTAACAGTGTTGTCCCCAATATCTCCTCCACAGCTTCTATGTTGACAATCAGCCAAGGCATATTGTTTTGTTTCTAATTGCTTTTCCTACGGCTATTGACCCTGTATCTGCATCAATCACCGTGCCAGTGGTCTCTGGGATAGCTAGCGTACCGTCATTACTTTGGTGGCATGTTTTATTGTCCTTTTTTGAGCATAATTAATTTGTCTAGCCTATGTAAAGTAAGCTTGGCCTGGTGGTAGTCAATCCATTTCAACAAGATGGGGTTAAATGATGGTTCTCAATTGGCCATATCGCAGTCCGGACGGCGTTCGAAGACACTTTAAAGGACCTTCTGTGACTGAAATTCGGCTGCTGTAAGGCAATGTATGATAGCGTTGCAGCGCATGATGGAGGTTATAGAAAACGTGGACGAGTGATGACCTTAGTAAAGTGAGGAGAAACTTCCCCAAGGATTGGCATTGACAGTTGGCACATGCATATCATGGGGCTGCCTGCTTAAGTTCACTTTATCTATTCTGAATATCAATCTTAAATGATTGAGGTTGGTTTCCACGGAGGAATCTATCCCCAAGAATTAAGTTTTAGTCGCCTGTTTGCTCGGCAAGATTTGCATTGTAGTGGTCAAACAAACTGCATTTTTCATCTATCCACGTCTAAGTCTGGCGGCATCTCGATATTGTAACCACCGCTTTTTTCTAACAAGTAAGCCAATTGAGAGGCTTTGCTGGCTAAGGACCGATACTATCTTTGTTAAAATAGGCGTATGCAGCAGAATGTATTGGCTCCAACCAAGTTCGACAAAGCTAAACTACTGCAACACGTCTTTGTTTAATAAAAATAAGGAGTGTAAGCACACAGCCTTACTTTTCCTCTCTAGTCAAGTTGATATTCGAATGAGTGACGAGTTCATCATTCGGCTGAATGCTATTCTTAGTCTCTTGACTTTAAAGGGGTGGAGATCGACAAATTTGTGGATAATACTCAATTCCTTCATATATTGGATGTGCGCTGCCAACGAAAGGTATCTTAAACATTTTACGGCTGATGAGAATACTTGAGACGTAGATTAAATGTGCTATGTCGTGAAAATTTAGCCGACATTCTAAAATTTTTTTTGGATTAGAAAAGATTGCTTTAATAGGGTTGGGCTATTAAGTAGTATGCAGCCTAAGCTCAAACTATTTCTGTTACATTAGGATGTCGGTTTTTGAACGAGCTCCTTTCAGGCTGCTCGAAAGAACTACCTTCCATATAAACTTAGCAGATAATTAGTGCGTATTTTCATCGTTGATTTTCGATAACGGCATAAAATATGTCTTAGGTAGACATGCCCAAAATATTCGTCCTTGTATTCGTTCAGTAGCAATTTTCGTCCCCTTTAAAGTTTACACTTGAAGATGGAGTATCTTTCGGTTTTACCAAACTTTCTAATTTTGCCTACTGGTTCACCCTATCCGCTTTTACACTTGTACTCTGGGTTAAAAATCTAACAGCTGTATACATTACGTCTAAGAAAAATTGCCCTTTTTGTGCTATTAGTGAAGTGTCCTAGAGTGCTCATTAAGTTTTGCAACGACTGTGGACTATATTGTATAGTCTACACTCAGCATTAGTAAATGACCTGAGTCCGCTCCCGCCGCCGGTCTTCTTGACTGTCTTAGCACCGGCATCAGATGGATAAGGGAAGATAGAGAGATGCAGCGAAAGTCGACTATCAATTAAAACCAATTCGCGCGCAACTCATCGTCCCTGTCTCACCTTGTTGTAAAACATACAGTCTGACATCGTTGAACTTGACGGCCGAACGGTCCTACTCTACACGTAGCATTACGAAATGCATACATACGATGGGTGGGTATTTTACAGTCTGACTCACTGTACATGACTCGTATCTGCTACTGAATGAGCACAAAAAACAATATTTTCGTGTAGGTTTTCTATAAAATATGCTTGAATTTATAAGGACATTGGAAATCAATGGGGAAGGTTCATGCTACTTAAGGGATCTTTTCTTGCGAGGGTAGTTTTTGCAGGCGAATCAAAAGGTGCTCGTTCAAACTCCAGCGTCCTGCTGTGACCCTAATACCTGTGGATTATGCTGCAAGACAATTAATCTTACTACTCTACTTAAGTAATATTTTCGAATCAAAAGACATTTCGAATTTCAGTTAACACTTCATGCGTTCGCATGTGTCGGACTCATCTGTCAGAATGTTTGCTTCAAGTTGACCCTGTATTGTTATTTCCTGTCTTCAACACCGACGTGTTTTTAACATTGCAAGAGAAAGAAACTAGGACTTAAGGAGACAATCCACTGGTTCTATGGTTCCCAAGATATTCCTAAGTTCATTCCAGATGTCTCGAACTTTTCGGATATTACACCCAGAATAGAAATTTCGTACTGGACCGAGAGGTCTCTGTTCCTATTAGGAATTTTGCAGTCTTATGCCCGTACTGTTAATAATCACCGCTTAAATGAAATATTCTAGGTTAGTGTCAGAGATAGTGGAACTTGCGGACACCATGGACGGACTCTTGCGGAAGCTAGAAGAAGCTGAGACGAGAATGAAAGAGCTGGAGACCTGCCAAGCGAAGCTGGAGCAGGAAATATGCCTGAAGCAAGACTCGATTCGCATTGATAAGACGCAGGTTCTTCCCAGGCGACCCGGTCAGCCAAGCTATGTTCGTCGTCTCGGGCGCGTCAACGTCTTCTAGCTTCTATCGTCGTGCAGAACCCATCACTGTCTTTTAACAAACAGTTTCACAAACAGCACATAAACTTTCTATAATCTTGCATACATCACAATCTATGCTGCATAGTTTTTTTT